GTTCGTGGTCTCGATGTTTTCAGGTTTTTGGCATCCAAAAATCCCAGACGCATCGAGCATAAAACAAAGATGCAAATGCAAACCCCAAGTCTCAGTGTCAGGTCTCACAGCAAAGGGTCAGGGTCTGCACATTTTTGCTTTTGTTTGTCCGCGTCTGTTTTCACGAGTTGGTTTCGTCTTTGACGCCCCAAACCCCAGAAACCAAAACGACTTGAGAAAACAACATGCAACAAACATACAAACTCCAAATCAGGGGTCAGTCTGTATCTTTGTTTTCATGTGTTTCGTTTAGTGTACTCGAGCTGTTTTGTGGCTTCTTGCCAAGCAAACAAAAAAATCGGCCCCATGGCATGCCTGCAACATGGCATGCCAAAAAGCAACAGCGCGAGTTGCTCACATGGTCTAACAAAATGTTTGTTAGCTGCTCGCTGACCGCTGAAACCCACGCCAGCACGGCCACTCGCCATGCGCAGCGCCGCGGCGCGCCTCTGCTGATTGCCCCGATGGCCTCGCTGCTGCGGCCTTCCTGCCGAAAAACATGACGAGGCCAGGTTGCCTCCGTCGAAACGATCAGATGCTAGGCCCTCCAGTAGAGAGGTTCGAATCAGTTGGTACCTTTTTCCTTTTCTTTTTTCCTTCCTTCTGTAGTCTATTTTAAGAAGGGAACCTTCCCAACCAAAAAAGGGAGAGAAGGGCACTACTGGGGGACCTAGGATGGGTTACCAAAACTCATGGTACCCCACAGCGCCTTCAAAAGCAGCTGTCCGTAGCCTCGAATCAGGCCCAAGTTGCCCGGGGCTGACTGGAGGGCCACCTGAAAAGATTGGCCGCGCCATGTGCAATCCCTGCTTGACAATCTTGGAACGCCTCCTTTTGTTTCCTTCAAAGAGATGCTTGATTGAAATCATCTCCCATTGGCCAACTCAGGCGCAAGCGCGGTACACCTCAAGGGCATCTTTGATGCGATCCTTCCTGACGTACATCTGAGCCTAGCAACGAGCAAGGCACATCCATGACAGCATCAATTTGCCACCAATACATGACTCTTTGTTCAATATGTTGAGCAGCTGCCATGCAACATGCTGGGTGCAATGCCAATGATCTGGCAACATCAGCATCAGGAGGGCCGTCACCATGATGAAAAGCCTGGCCGGCTGGTCAACAAGGAAGCCGCTAAGCACCTGAACTACTGATTCAGCGCACTCCTCATCAGCAGAAGTGTAGACCGGTGCATGTTAACATGAAACTTCCATGTAGTTCAACCAACTTCATTGCCATAGAAAACACTCGGCCCTAAATCTTATGGCACGCGTGCGAACAATAATGCCTCTTCTACCTGCGGCAAATTGTAAACCAAATGCGAGTGAGGAAGCCCTTCTATGCCTTTAATTCTCCTTGCGAGATCTGTGCTCTGGCACATTGATAAACCCCAGTCCTCCTCAAAGAACTTTAAAGACTCGTCGCGGCGGTCTATGACGAGGCCTGCCTGCACGTGGGGCTTGGGATCCCTCACATACGGAGATGCCCACCGATTTGCAAGTCCTGCAACAGTCACCCGCTTACTCCACCTCCAACTTCTGCCAAACAGCACGCGACCGAACGGCAACTGGATGATCTTAATCTGGCGCCTCGGCAATGTCACGAAGCAGTTGCCGTGAAACGCGTCCGCATTCGCGGGCCTGGGCATGCATAGACATGGCACTGAGGCAGCGGAACCGTGGTATCAAACATATCTTGTGGCGGGCGGTTTCCTGCTGCAACCGCTGCGAGGTGACGCCTCTGGTCGTGCGTTTCTCAAACACCCACCTTGGCCTGCGTGCTTTGCAAGCCCCTTGGAAAACGAGCGATGAGAAAGTGGGAGAAGGGCGGCGGCAGAGCTCAGAGCGACCTTCCTGCCACCAGCTGTGCATTGTTGAAGTGGACGGGCTGTTGCGGAGCCAAAGCGGATGCAGCATTTGGCAAAGCACCCAAAGGAGCCAGTCAACATGCGATGGCAACTGCCCATTGGGGATGGCTTGCAGCGCATGTGAAGCGCGTCTCCGAAGTCCTTGATGCATTGACAGTTTCGACCCAGCCGCCGCTGTGCCGACAGGTTGCCGCAGGAGAAAGAATGAATGCCTTGCCCGCAATCCCAACAAGACTCACAATACTGAATGTACCCTCTCAACATGACCCTGCAACGAATCAACTCGAATCATAGTCCATTCAGCTTCCCTCTACTTGGTTTGGATTGGTGGTTTGGCAAGAACCCGGGGTTCAAATTTCCAAACAACCAATCACAACCATGACAGGCAAAGGCTTCCGGGTTGATCCGGGTATCTGAGGTGCCCTGCGCAGCTCACAGCTTCTGAGAGCCAGGAGTGGCGCTCCACCTAAGGCATAAGGAAAAACATGGCGTGGGCGCGGCGAAAACCAAAGGAAGGTCGGAAACGAAGACCAACACAGGGGCAACACCCCGCCCAAGAAGAGCAACCATGAGGCAATGCGATGCATGAATCAGCTACACTGCCTGTCTGTTGCTGTCGATTTTCGTGGTCGGGATGTTTTGGCCTCGCGTATTCCGAGCCCAAACCAGGTGAAGCTAAATATGAAGTTATGCACAGCTTTTGGTCCCCACGGATCGCATTCCAATGGACACGAGCACATGTCAATACAAGTGATAAAGTGAATTGGAATTTCTCACACGCCCCTGAGATGCATGCCCTTTCATATTTTTAGGCCAGACTGCATCGGGAAGCCCGCGAACACTGAAACTTTTAGCTAGAGAGGACCCGAGCTCTTCGAAATCGCCATAGCAAACGGTGGCCGCTTGAGGTGAGGCACTGGGGAGCGACTGCCATCTGCCAGCTCAGTGAGAATGTCGACACCTCGGCAAGGCTGGCTCTGGAAAGCTTCAGCTAAGAGTAAGGACTCCCGCTCACCAACAAGCCGAGCCTAAACAAACCAGCTTTAACCTCGCAAGCACATCACCTTGAAGTGCCAAATGCATGAATCCCGATCAGCCATTCATCGCGATTCGCTTCCACTTTCCCGGCCCTCATTTTTTTTAAAAAAAAATAATGTTGCTATAAAATCCAAAGTTGTCGGATGCTGATGAGGAGGCATTCGCTTGCTTTTCTTTGCAGGCTCAGGCTCGTGCAGCGTTGGGGATCCACCTGCCGCAAAATACGAAGGGTCTCCTGAGGCTGGAGCAACTGCTTGGAAGGATGAACGTTCAGCCGACAACTCCGACAAATAAAGGCCGCATGAGAATGGAACGTGAATCGCTAGCTATCCCATGCGCAGCCCCTTGGCCCATAACTGACCTACGGATCCATTCCTCAGCATGTCTCCGATAGTGCCATCTTGTCCGATCAGGTGCCTACAACAAGGACATTCCAGCAGTTCCTGCAAAACCGTGCAGTTGTCTGCATAGTTTTCTGTGGGTACACCGCCTTGGCAAGACGGACAGGGAACTTCTACTATCAAGCTTCACCATGCTTGGATGGTTGGGTTCAAGGAATGACGTGCTCCAGAAATTGCAAAAAACTTTCAAGCGCGGCCTGTCACGTCCTTCCCGCACCGACGGCTCACTTTGGCCAAATTGCAGTCTCCGGGATATGCTGGGCAAATCCCACTCTGCACTCTTTGTCCCACTGATACCCCGTTGTTGCGGCTTTTTACTCAAAACCTCCCCCCCCCCCAAACAAAAACAAAAACGCTCAGCCATTGTGGGCGCGCAACCCGGAGAAAAAAAACAACGACTCCACAGAAAACCAGTTCGGATATGATGTCTCCGGGATATGGTAGGCAAATCCGGCTATATGATTTTGCTTGGGAAACCACCCAAAAAAACCGTTCAGCCCATTTTGGGTCCGCCATCCGAAAGACGATCCCACAGAAAACCAAGGCACATCCAAGCTCAACCAATGAAATCCGGACCCAATAGCTGTGGCTGCTCTTGGGTCCTAAGCCCTCCCCCCCCTCCCCCCCCTCCCCCACCCAACAAGCAGAAAACTCGCCGCACACGAGTCGGCGGCGGCTTCGAATCGGTCGGTCCTGCCAGGGGCCCTCCATGGAGAGCTGCGCCCGCAGCAGCAGCTCCAAAGAGCTCGGGTCCCCCGGGCGACAGCTCAGTGCGGCCTCCGTCTCGCTTCGGCAGAATTTTTTGGGGCGAGAGGCAGGCGGGATGAGAATTGGAATGACCCCCCCCCCACAAAAAAAAAAACACAAAACAACCCGCAAACAAACGGAATGAGAAGTGGCATGACCCCAAGAAAAACCATCAGCGATGGTGTTTCCTTTAAGGGGACCAAAGCCTGCGTTCATTCAACCACATTCCCTACCTATCGCACCAGCGAGTCCTGCAGGGAATGAGGTTGGAGTGACCAAGTAAAGCTGCCCAAAGGGTGTTTGAAAGGGAATCCCAGGTTCATTCCCAACACCCTGCATCATTCACAACATTCCCTACTGAGCACCAGCGAGACTAGGGACCCGTTTTTACTAGCAAGATTAGCGAACACATTGGCTCCAAATGGAACATATTTGGCTGATGCAGGGGCATCGCCCAAGTTGAAACTTTGAAATATGAATAGTGAGGGTCAGCGATTTTGACCAAACATGTTCTCAATGCCACTTTAGAGGTATAGAAAGTTTGCTCGGTGATGAGTATGCGTAGCAAGATTCGCGTGAGATTCGAGCCATGCCCACAGTGCTGCCTCAAACCGAAGAAGACTAGCACATGGCATAGTTGCGAGCTAGCTCCTCTCAAACAGAGCTGGCTCTCCGGCTTGGAGAGAGTTGTGTAGAAATGCGACTTCCCGTTGACTGACTCAGGCGGCAACGAGACAAGCGTGACTGTCGCGAACAAGGCCCAAAACCGATTCGAGCCTCGGCGTGCTTTGCCACCATCGGCCACTTTCGAACATCCGAAAATCCTGGCAACGTTTTGGAGGGCAAACCAGCAAACCCGAGTGCAATGCGATACCGCCATTGATCTTCCTTCCGCCCTTCAAATCTTCTCACGCCAGCCCTCCTTGCGCGGCGAGAAAGCTCAAAGCATAGCCAAGGAAAATGTCCGGATCCAGGGAGACTGCCTGCAGCCCCAGCAAGAACCCCAGCCCCCACTCAAAAACTTCTCGACCGCTGATTTAATGGAAGGCACCCAAGAAAAGTGATGGATCACTACTCAAAAGGGACAGTCATCTGGGGTTGCCACTGGCAAAAATGCTCAAACTTATACCTGCAGTAGTAGCCCCTTTCTTGCACAAGCCATTTCAAAGCGGACTGGGCTGACTCCTGCATTTCACAGGTAAAAACCCAGGCAGCTACACGAACAGCACCCGCAACCTTGCTCAATTGGCCGATCAAGCCCCTGTGCAACCAAAAGCCACTTGATTGCTAACCGATTCCGTTTGGACAAAGTGCACAACTAGGTCCTCCAGTAGAGAGTTTAGAATAAGGGTGCCCTTTTGCTGTAGTCTATTTTAGTAGGGGAACCCTCGCTCAAAAAAGGGTACAAGGGCACTACTGGGGGACCTAGACCAGCGGCCAACTTGCTTTGAAGGGCCAACGCCTCTTGACAAACTGAAGGGTCCGGGCCTCTTGCACCGCGCGGTAGGCTTCCTTCTTGTCCCCAAGCGCCAGCTTGGCGCGCGCCAAGTAGACCCAAGCCTGGCGGAATGGAAAGGCGTGAAAGGCCTGAAGCCGGCGAGGACAAAAAGGACAGATCCACATCATCAGTTTTCCCCTAGTTGGTGGTTTGGATTGGTGATTTGGAGGTTAGGGAGGGGGTCCCCTTTTAACCTGGACAAGAACCAGGGGTCCAAATTCCAAACCACCAATCCAAACCACCAATCAAGGGGTATACATCATCTTTCGCCCTTTGCAACGCAAACACCGGTCTCCGCAAAAAGGAAAACAGATATTGTTCTGAACTTCAATTGATCATTTTGTGGGTGGGGATTCATGTCCACCAGTCACTTTCTAGGTGGTTCCATAATGATAATCATAGCCATGTCACATATTGCAAACATCTCTCCGACAGCGCTTCCGGAAAAGCCCTTCTTGCAGCACGCGCGTTGCGCTTGTTCTTGCCCAAGTGCTTCATTGCAATGTGCTCAGTGATGCTCAGCGGCCAGCGTGGATCGAACCCCGATCCTCCCTTCACCAACAGAACAGATCCCGACGCTTTCCAAGGTCCCAAACAAGTAATGCTGCTTGGCAAAGGGAGTAGTTTCTTGACTGCTCCTGAAAATGCGTGGGTATGCCTGCAGACTTGAACACTCTCACAGTGGAGGCTCCCAAATAACTTACCTGGGTCATTTGAAGAATCACTTCCTGGGTTCCTGCTCAATGAAGCATGCCTCGAATGACAACTCACTCCCTTATCTTCGCTGGGTCGAGGTGTCTATGGCAGCCCCGTCCACGTCGAGATTCGCGCCCAGCGTATCATGACACAATGACCAAAGCAAATCCTTGGACTATGGACCAACTGGCCCCATTGTTTTACCATTGTCAAAGTCACCTCCGAAGTAGTAGGTTAAAGGGAAACAACCAACCAATTTCTGACTTTGATGATCCCTAGAAACAGTCAACATAATAACCCCAAACCAATCTGTCCTCAGAACTGTTCGACATCACAGCCATACTGTACTGCGCGCCTGTGGATGGCTAGGCAAGCGGTCCCCCCCTCTTCCGTGCCTGGGAGTTGTTGGGCACACTGCGCGTGTACTCCACAACGTGGGGCAGCGCCTGACCATCTGATCGTTCACGTGCGCCTCCTGACCTATAGTGAATGCAAGGCCAGTCAATCGCCCAGCCCCGTTCTTCCATGAAAGAAGACATTCCTTCATAGACTCTGGTATCAAGTCACCAATGGCCAAGAGGCAACGGAAACAACCAGAGTTTCTGAGAGTGGGCTCATTATTTCACCCCTTTGGGGTTATCAAAATGAGAAAAAGCATGGTGGGTTGTTTCCCTCTACTTTACCTGTAATCTACCACTGGTGACTTTGACGGAAACATTCTTCTGGGGCCAGTCGGCTGCTCAGCCGCCATTTCGACCACAGCCTCCTCCCAGGCCGAAGGTCCTTGGCGCTCCGCGCGCAGGCAAAGGCCTCGGCACGGGCCGTCCCTGCAACGAATCCAAGCGATGGGTCAAGGTGCGTGAGCACGAAGTCTGAAAAAGAGCAAAAGAAGGGCTTGGAGTTCGACTTTGGGCTTTGTCAATTTGTACAACTGCAGAGTTAGGTTGATTACAGTGCCTCTTCCCCCATGTGCGGGAAAGTGGGGGCTTCAGGCTCTGACTCCTGCAGGGCATGGACAGCACATGGATCCGCATTGGCAAGTCATCTTACCGATGGGCAAACGGATGGGTCAACGCAAATGAGCTTCCGAACACAAAACTCAGCGATCTGGCTGACCCTAGGCACCTCATGGCTGTCTGAATGTCCCGTGAAGTCTCCCTTTATCTGCCCCTTGATGATGATGATGATGATGATGATGATGATGATGATGATGATGATGATGATGATGATGATGATGATGATGATGATGATGATAAAGTGCAGTACCCGAAAGCAGAGTTGCTGCACATCGACAGCCACCTTAGGTGGCAGCAATGGCCCTGAGGCCGAAATTACTCCATCTGCCCCTTTTACCGCCTTCACCAGTCTTTGGGCACAAGCCTTGCGTCTGCCAGTGGGCGCGCCGCAAGGCTGTTCAGCTTAGCTGCAGCTCTGTGTCTGAGAAATTCAACCACCACCCAAGACATCTTGAAATTCAGGTGCTGGACACCTACAATAATATCATACAGCGTACTGCGGACTGAAAGAAAGCTTCGTGTCGCAGAACGGTGCCTGCAGAAAGCTGACAACGCAAAGAGCGCAGGTTGCACGGTTGCCACAAACATAACACTTGCAGTTCCTGGAAAGCCCAATGGCTGTATCGGCACATCTCGGCACCTGTCCCTCAAGCGCCAGCTTTGCAGTTGAAATGACCTCAAGAAGCCACAGTCTGACTTAAGCTCGCATTTAAAGCAAAAGCCACACACTGTGAGCAGGCTGTGAGTGCAAAGCCAAAGCACAGCCTTTTGGCCTGCATGTGTTTGTGGCGACAACATAGGATGTGAGTGCTCACAAAGTCTAAACAACTTGCCTTGAAGGGTTGGCTTCCTGCTTGTTCAATATCTGTGACGGGTCAATCGCTGCCATGCTTTGGCTGCATTAATTTCTTCGCATTTGGCATATGGGGTGCGTCAGCACCTCAAGCAGCAACTCCGTCATTGGGAATCCGCTGCCTGCTGCGGCAACATGCTTTCTGTGCGGCCCCTGCACATAGTCAAATGTGCATGCAACTTCATGATTTTGCCGGCAACTCTTGATGAATTATCAACAGCGGTTGTGCAAAGGACAGAACAATTCGCGTCACATGCTGGCTCGGAAAAGGAAAAGGGCCGCGTTGCTGACCATCAAGGCACAGCTGCTCACTCGTCATCACTGTCGCTCACGCTGCTCAAGGAGGCTGAGTCACAATCCGTTTCACGAAGCATGCCTGACAGGCAGCAAATGCAGACAAACTGCCCAACCTGAGCCATGCAACTCGCGAGTGAACCGAAGTACCGAAAGGAGCTCCCAGGAGACAATCTGACGTGTTCCGTGCCATGTCTGCTTGAACTGTGTGGCCTTTGGACGAACAAACCCAAGGCTCGTGAAGTGGGAACCCGGGGTCTATGAACCAGGATCCACTCATCGTCTCATTTTGACCTCTGGCCATGGGTCAAAATCAAGGTTAGCCCCAGTCAACATCCCAATCCAACCACTCAAATAGGTTTTAAAATGGGTGGTGAATTCACCAATCCCAACCAAAATGGGATCCCAAAACGGTTTTGACAACCACGGCCATCTCACGCCCAGGTGCCGTCCATCTCGCACTGCTTGGCCTCGGGACTGGCAGTTTTTTGCCCGTGGCGGAGGGCGCCGGGATTGCATCCAAGCATCTTCCTTCAAAGGCCACATTTGGGGGGGTCAGTTTCGAATGCGGCAGCCAACCGGAACACAACTATCACAATTCAAGACCGTTTGCGGATTTGGCACGATGGATGCCCCTCCCACCGGCTAACATGGACGCGCACAAACCCCCGTTCCAAGGGGAAAGTCGTGTTTCCATAGGGGTCTGTGCACTTCCATGTTAATTGGTCGGTGGGACGGTGAATCATAGTTATCTGCCCGAGCTGCACGTGTGGAGTCTATAGCCTTAAAGGACGGGCCAGGCCGGAAATCGGGGTGAGGGATTGAGGCACTTCTACTTCCACACAACAATGCTCAAGTGTCCCAAGGGCAACCTCCTCTACCAATGATGATGTTAGGGGTGTTCAGGGGTAAGGACATTTTATCGGTTCCTCTGTCTCTTGCCCCAGCCAGCGCCACATGCAGCTTGAGGTGCCGCTCCGCACATCGTCCTTGGCCAACGACCATCTAATCCATGCCGTAGGCTCGCCAGCACCATAGGAATGTCTCAGAACCATTTTGAACAGGGATCCGGATGCATTATACACCTGAACATTGCCTTTTAAATGGTGGTTTCCCTTTATTTGAATGGAAAAAGCCATGTTTCAAATGGGCAAAATGTATCATTTAAGGAGCCCTGTTGAATAGCGTCTGAAAAAGACAAACAGAGAAGCCGTGCGTTAGCTTAGTCAGCTTGACGCATGCACACATCTGACCAATGTGGGAACAAACTAAGGCAAAATTCGAAAAGCCAACATATTTTTCATAAAACACACAGACACCCGTCAAGCAAATCCATGGATTCACTTGTGGTGACAAGCTATGACAAGCTCCAGCAACAACTTTATCATTTGGGACAAGCGGCCACATATTTTGATAGCGTCCAGTGTAGTCCTCCTCGTGGGTTACAATCTTTGGCACCACCTGCAACTCCAAGGCATCACCAACTGTTTAGACCAAGTGAACCATCGCATAAACTTCTCCAGCCACATGAGATCCCTTGCGGGCCTGAATCAAGTACAATGATCATTTACCATTGTTGCCAGCAAAGAGAAAACGTATGCGCGGGGAGACACCTGTGATCTGCCAACAATACTGACCCGCGCATGCTACGCACGAATGTCAAGTGTTGCCAAACGACTGGGTGACAAAATGTGAACAGCCATCGCTCTTTCATTTCTACCCAAGTGACTGCCAAGTCCGGTCTTCCGGGGGGTCGAGCGGTGAGGAGCCTGCATGGGAAGACGCTCCGCGATGGTGATGTAGTGAAAAGGGCGCCTCACGACTCAGCCAGCGAACAACGAGTTTGACTTGACTTGAACAATGCTGCCGACCCTCCACGGGCTCATGTTCCCCATGAAGCACTCAAGAGCAAATACCAGCAAACCCGACTGCCTAAAACATGCAGTCCTCATCCACCCTCTGCAAAGGCACATTTTGGCCGACTCACTCTAAACCACAGACAGCCCAAGCACGACAGGCTGCATACCACTGGCTCTCTGTGAGTCGCCCACCCGAGCCTGTCCCGCTTGTTGCCCGTGAGAGGTGCGGTAACAGTCTCGCCCCGGTAAATTACCTCAGGCAAGCGCCATAAGCGCATGTCAAAAGGACGAAGCCTGAACCAGTGCAGGTAAAGGCAGATATAAACGGAACCGTGAACGGAGCATGCGTACTTTGTGACCAAATGCACAATCTCTGTGCACTCTCAGCAGAGAACATCAGGTTCTCTACCCACCAAAAAGGATTGCAAAACCTTTCGGGAACAACTATCGGAAGACAGTTCGCAGAACGATTCCTGCAGGATGGGCCATTGGCCTTTTTCCAGTGCATACATTAACTCAACAGCTGCTCTCCAGCAGCAGGTGCCACCAAGGGTACCAAAAAGCGTCTGGCCAAGTTGCATTTTTCAATGCGGCGCTGGGGATCATGCCTACGGCCATCCCGAAAGCAAATCGATTACTGAAAGAGGCAAGGCCGGCACAAAGTGATCAAGTTCAGTTGCATCCTGTTCCACAGTGTTTCCGTCTGGCACTGTTCTCCGGGCTTTGTAATTAGGAAACATGTCTGGATCCAGCCCGGCGCAACCTTCACGACCTGAGTGCTTTTTGCATCCCGAGCCTGCTTGCTTGGCCACATTCTGAACCTCAATCGCCTCTTCGAGCCAAAGGTTGCAAAAGACCGCAATCTGACCCGAGCTTGAAAAGTTGTTGTACAGAACCTTCTGCCACAGGAAGTAGTACAGCTGGTACAGTTCCCCAAAGTCCTCAGCTTCGGCACGTGGCAAGAAAAAGAAGCACGCCCCGCTGGCGCACGAATTTGCCCAACCTTGTTCTCAGCTTCCCGCACGACGATCTTAGGGCCAAACCACGGTTCCCGATGCGCCAATATCAAGAACCATCAGTAAGCACAGTGTACCACAAATGATTGTGGTACATTCCCACCAACATGGCCCCTGACAGGGGGGTTCCTACAAGAGGACAAAATTAGTTTTCAACCCTCCCGCAGATGCTACTGTGGATGCACGAAATCCATTTCGCACCACCCAAGAAACCCCGGAATCATGATTGCCCCGACCACCTAAGAGACCCTGGTTTCGGATGAATCCCCTGTAAATACCAAGCATCAATGGCTTCCCATGGTTCTCAAGCGGCAGAATTTCGTGCATCCAGCTTTGGCTCCCTTCTGGGGGCCCCGGCAGTGAGGAACCGCGAGCTGCAGTCTGGGTGCATGCCCAAGGTGAGCTGCGCCGCAGGCATCGGGGATCTTCCATCCTCCGGCGAGTGCGCTTGGAAGAACAACAGCATGTTGTTTGTGTTCTTCTTTTGTTTTAAGGCATATCTATGTCTATATATATATATGTATATATATATGTATATATATATATATGTATATATATATATATATATCATATGAGACACATGTACATGTATGTATATATATATATATATGTATATCGATCTATACGCGCGTGTGGTTTATTTGAAAACACCCTTTCGGTCCGAAGGGAAACCAATAGGAAAACCGGAACCATTCTGGGGGTCTGCTCACCATTAGACTTTAGACACATACCCACATGGGTTCACTTGATTTTGGCCCCAGCACCGGCCCAAAAGAACAGACGCACTCGCTCCTGAGCGAAGCAGGCAACCAACGCACGAGAATCCAGAAGTATGGTCTTTGCGTGCAGGCTGTTAGGCAGCTCAACTGCACCGCCGTGGCTGATGCACCCGCCCGTCCTGAACCGCATATGTGATGAAGATCTGTGCATCAAAGCTTGGCTGGGCTTGACAGCCACTGTAAAAGTCTTGCACATCACTTACCTGAGCTGAGCCATCCACAGGTTTGAAGAGGGAAGGGGGGTGGATTCCCCCTGCAAGCGGAAGCGACGCAGGGCTCTCTCCCCGAAACTCCACCACGTTTCTTGGGGCAAACGAGCTGCACGCAAGCATACGTGGTTGGTTCTGTTAGGGTAAAGCCACAGCAACACACAAAACACACGCACACATACACACATACACACATACACACATACACACATACACACATACACACATACACACATACACAAATACACACACACACACACACACACACACACACACACACACACACACACACACACACACACACACACACACACACACACACACACACACACACACACACACACACACACACACACACACACACACACACACACACACACACAACACACACACACACACACACACACACACACACACACACACACACACACACACACACACACACACACACACACACACACACACACACACACACACACACACACACACACACACACACACACACACACACACACACACGCACAACGCACGCAACGCAAACGCAAACGCAAACGCACACGCACACGCACACGCACACCCACACACACACACTTATCTCGAGAGGCTTCACTAGCCGAGATGAAAAACGCAGTCAGTAAAAATGCTTGAATGCAAATGCAAAGCAACAGGTCACAACATCGACACCGAACAGGAAGCAACAGCGACAAACAGAAACCGCAAAAGGAATCAGGAAAGAGGAGCAGGAAATAGGCAGGTACGCCGGATTGATCAGATCCGGTATCCACCGAAATGCCGTAGCTTCATTGGACTGGATAGGCAAATCGGCTCCAGTCCCCCTGCTGCTTAAAGCCAGGACGGTTCACACACACAAGGCCCCGAGTGGGGCGAGCTCACTTACGCAAGGCCCATTGAGTCTTGCAATCTTCGACTGTGCGGGAAAGTCTTGTGGCGATGACAGACCATGCATGCTTGGCCTTGGTATTGATCTTAAGCGAACGGAGGAGATCAATCTCCTCAGTCCAAGGTTGCGGGGCTTCGGGATCAGCCTCAGTGTCCTGGTAGATGGGGTAGCTTTGGAGCCCAATGATCAGGAAATTGTTCATCATGATCTGCGAGAAGTTGTCCGCCAAGATCTTCAGGGAGTTGTTCATTAAGATCATCGGGGGGGGCCAGGAGAGGTGTTGGTGGTGAATTGGTCAGGTCCTCTACGGTGAGATTGAGTGGAGCTTCCGGTGCGAAATCCGGACCCTCAGTGAACTCGCGAATGGTGGCGATGCCTTGTTGGGCAATGCCGAGGATGAGTTCAAACAGCTGCGGTGTGAAAACAGGTCATGTGGGAATCTGCCGGTGGGCTAAGAGTGAAAAAGTGGGCGCAATCTCAAATAGTGGCAAAGGAAGGCCGGTGCGTTTTTTCTGCAAGGAGAAACCGTGTTGGTGGTACAACTTCTTCAACACTGTGAGATCGTGATCTCGCTGAAACTCAGGAAAGGAAACCCGGCTGCGCTATCCGGATTCCTTGTGCATCATTGGTGCGGCCGACTTGATGGAGAGCATGTTGTGCTTCTCATACGAGGGGATGAAGGAGATGGTGCCGCACTCAAGGTCGAGTCGAAAACCCAAGAAATCCAGGGCGGCTTCTGTCTCCAAAAGGATGTCTCCTCCGTAGAAGTGTTCGTCACACAAGATGTGGGCTGCCGGAGTCGAAAACCATCTAGGGGTTGCGACCGCGAGCCTGTTGTCCACATAACGGAGCAGGAGGGTGTCCTCAAAGGAGCGAGGTCCCGAAGTAGGATGGGTGTTGGCCCAAATTTGCTCGGCGACCGCAATTACCATCAGGCATAAAGCAGGGGACGCGGGGGATCCCATCGGGGCCCCGCGTGTTTGCCTGAAGGAACGGAAGCCGACAGAAAAGATCTGCATGTCAAGGGTAGCTTGAATGATTTCGGGGATGTCGTCAAGCCACAGAGTGCGTTGTGCTGGCTTGTGTCGGCGACGGCGTCCGTTGTAGACGCGGGTGATGGAAGAGGTGTCAAGTGTGTCCACTGTGAGGTGTGTGGTGGTGGAATGTGGTTGCCGCTGTCGGTACCAAGTCAAAAGTAGACGCCAGGCTGCTAAGAAGTGGTCTTTGTCAATGGAATTGAAGAAACCAGAAAGGTCCTGGTTTCGACAGTCCAGAGGAGTGTGGCCGAGGCGGAGAAACTCATGCAAAGACCGCATGAGATCGAAGAGGTCGCCGCCCGAAAATGCGTCTGGGCAAGCCGTGGCAACCATGCTATGGAGCAGTTTGGCGAGAGCGTCAAGCATGGGTCGGAAGAAGGCGCCAACGAAGCTGATGATGGGTCGAGCAGTGGTCCAGTTCTTCTTCCTCTTGGGGAGGATGTAGGCAGTCGCTGGCCGTCCGAAGCCGGTCACGGCCCATGGATAGCGACCGCGGAATCTGCTGACGATGCTTTCTCGTTGCCGTTGATGGATCTCAATGGAGGGGACTCGCAAGGGAGCAAAGATGGCAGGATCCGTGAATGTGGCGTCCAGCATCTTGCCGTACACAGCGGGGCAATAGAGCATGAGTCGGGAGTCCGCATGATCTTCGCAATGGCGGACAAGGGGCTCCAGGGTTGTTAGAGCCTGTTGAACATGAGCATGTAGAAAGTACTGTTGTGTGTGAGGAAGGTGGAGGTCGAAAGGGAAATCGACAATAGTGGAAAGGGTTGATGGATCAAGCGAGGGCAGGTTGTTGGTCCTGGCCCAGTGGTGAAACGCCTGAGTCAGACGATTCATCAAGACCCCGCGTGGCGGAAAGAAGGAGTTGCGCATCGAACCAGAAAGCATGCTGACTGTGTCGGGGTCGAACAACTCATGAGTGTCGGAGCCAGAAAAAAGAAGGTGTCCCTCATGCTTCGGGAGGGATGGGTGTCGCTTGGCGAGGTCGGTACATGTGCAGGACAGCTCGCCGAGACTCCAGGCTTGAGCTGCCTGGAGGTGTGAGAACAAGGCACTGGATAGTTTCCGGTGTGCCTTGAAAACGATGCGTGGTTGCGCCACATGAAACGGTAGAGCACTGCGGGTGGTGGATCTGACAAACCCGCGGAGCTGGGTCAAAAGCAAAGTCCGAAAGGAGCAGCCAAAATTGAGAGACGGCTGCAGTTCCTGAATGTAGAACTGCTCAATGGCGGGTTCCGGCCGTGTTGTTGCCGTACATGTTGCCATGGTGGTTGGATGCAGCGGGTGAAGGTTGCTGTGGATAGTTTTGCCTTTGGAGCATCGGTAACAAGCCTCGAGGGGGTTGGAAAGCCAGGACAAAACACAAGGGAAAGGGACCAAGTTCGAACCAAAGGCTGGCAAACGGCAACCAAAAGGAAGGGTCGCACGGCGAAAGACCGGTCACAGAAAAGGCAACAAAGCGAACAAACCGTGCATCAGTTCTTTTCCTGGTCGAATGGAATATGGTACGGTTTGCGCCCCGCTACGCCGGGCGCTGCAGCGCGACACCTCTCAGCGTGGCATACTTGGAGTGAAGGCACCACTTCTTGCCTCTGCGGCATGCAAAGTGGCGCCGCACGTTGTGCTGGTCCTCGTGGCTTCCCCCGGACTCCAAGATCTTGTGCTGATTGACAGAGCGCAGTTCCCCAAAAGCGATGGCCCCAAGCTGAGACTTTCCGATGGTGAAGTTCTGCAAAAGCTGGCCTAATGCGTCGGGATTGCAGGCTGTGGGAGTGGCCTGAGCATAGCATCCAAAGCTCGGGTAGTCATGGTTCTCAGGCCTCCATGCAGCAGGCCGGATCATGTTCTCATAGGACATGCGGCGCATTCGATCCGGGGTGGCGCCGTGTATATACATGACAGCGTGATGGGAAGCTGTGCCGGATCCAGCTTCCGGGTGCCCGCCAGCGACATCGCCAGCGGTGTGGTCGGGGAGATGGTAGAAGCTGGGTTCGAACGCTATGGGCTCATCGGAGTTTGTGTTGAGCTCTGCCTCCGACGGAGGGGGATCCAGGTCTTCAATGTCATCCAAGGGGTGTTGGGGGGAGGGTTGGGAAGGTGCAGGGCGGGGAGGGGGTTGGGAAAGCCGCCGCGGGTGCAGGGGTAGGGGGCATGCTGGCGTTGTTGCGGCCAGCACGGGATGGGGGGTGCGGTTGTTGCCCAGGTTGCTGCTGTGGCCAGGACTGTCGCTTGTCCTGACTGCTCCAGTTGCCTGTGTTGCTGGTGCTGCGGCGGTGCTTGCCCCAGTGGCTTGTACTGTGGCTCTGCGGTGGGTGTCCCCACGATTGGTTCCACCAGCGTGGAGAGGACCTGTGAGACTTGTCGGTGTTCCATCCGGAAGTGCGCCGGGAAGTGGAACCTTGTTTGCGGGGCTCGATGTGGAGCCGTGGTCCTGGGTGCGGGGGAGTGTCGTTGGGGGGACCTGCGCCGGGGGGAGCGTGAGCGGAGGGAGATGGGGTTGCGGTGCGATCGCCTGGAGCGGTGGTGGGGCCGTGAGGGGGAATGTGACCGGGTGGAGCTGCGTGCCCGCCGGGTGGTGTGTCGCCGTGGCGACTTGTCGTGTCCACGGTGATGACTGGTGTGGGAGTGTGAGTGGCGGTGTCGTCTGTGACGGGAACGGGATCTGCGGGAGTGGGACTGGGGATGAGTGTCCGTGGGATGTGGGTTGGTCGAGGAGGCGGCGGCAGGAGTTGTAGCAGCTGCATCGGCTGCGCGTGCCGGCTGAGGCTCGGGCAATGAAGATGGCATGCTGCTCTGAGCCATGAAGGGCATCAGGGCGCCGGATGTCGTGTTGCCAAAGTTAGGAAGGCCACCGTAGGGCATCACGGACATCGGGTTGCCAAAGTTCGGGAGGCCACCATAGGGCATCATGGAAAACGGTGCAAAGGGCGTGGTCTGCGGGTTGGGTGAAGGTACGAGGCTCATGGGCTGCATCATCTGGGGTGACAACTGCAGGTTCGGTCCACCGCTGCCTGGTGAGCCGGACACGGTGCCGGCCGCAATGCATTTGCAGGAGCGAATGCATCATGTCATAGAGCTGGTGTCCAGCCATCTCAAAAGGGAGAGAGAGGGTTGGAAAGGGGTGGAAACAAAAGCGACTACGGCTTGATTCAGTCAAGACCTGGACCTTGAAAATGCTGCCTTGTTGATCCAATTCATGTCAAAGCAAGGTATCGCATCAAATCAAGGCATCGCATGAACGTGAAAGTGAATTGAACTGATCTGAGTCAGCGCAGGGCGTGAATCAGTGAATTGCAAAGTCGGTATCTGACCAGCTTGGCACTCGCGCATGAAGCTGCCGGAGCCTGATACCTCGTGAGAGCTGCCTTGTTCAAAATGCAGGCAGTGCAAGCAGTGCAATGCGAATGCGAATGGTACCTCACCTGCAAATTCGCTGTCTTGATCATGGTCAATCGCGCTGAACTGCAGCTTGAATTTGAACGTATGAACGGTCTTCCCCTCGCAGGGGGCTCCCGCATGTGCATGTGGCGAGTCCAGCCCACAGCGCCATGTCGGACAGGCCGTGGGTAAGCACACTTATCTCGAGAGGCTTCACTCGCCGAGATGAAAAACGCAGTCAGTAAAAATGCTTGAATGCAAATGCAAAGCAACAGGTCACAACATCGACACCGAACAGGAAGCAACAGCGACAAGCAGAAACCGCAAAAGGAATCAGGAAAGAGGAGCAGGAAATAGGCAGGTACGCCGGATTGATCAGATTCGGTATCCACCGAAATGCCGTAGCTTCATTGGACTGGATAGGCAAATCGGCTCCAGTCCCCCTGCTGCTTAAAGCTTTGCGTCCGTGCTCCAGGACGGTTCACACACACACACACACATCGCGCACAAACTAGTTGAGTTGCATTGACCGAATCAGCAACAAGACGCTGTGCCAAATGCGAATAGAACCCAACTTGCAGGGAAAGCCAAAAGCTACAACCAATGTGGCATTCGCTGTCAGGCAAAGTGAGGCCGCTGAAAAAGCTGGGCTCAGGGCCAACGCAGCCCAGTGGCAAAGATGTAAATCGCCCGGATGTCTTGGCGCCGATTCAGCACCTCCTGTCGAAGAAAGTTCACCAAAGGCTTCCGCTCCTCGAACTTGCCAGCGAAAGGCACGTTGATGCGGAGCGCACCTTGCGCTTCGACTTCGCAACATCCAAAAACAACAACTCAGCTCTCCGCAAACCTTTCCGATCTTCCCCTCGCAGTTGTTCGCCCTAAGGCACCATCCTCTTTTTCTTTTTCAAGGCTCGTTTACGCTGATTTCCCAGCCCTACGCCAATTCCTCCCCATTCTTTCCAGGATCCTTCTTTTCAGAAAACCCGCAGAATTCAAGGGGAAACCGATCCGGTTTTTATGAAAAGAACGACGGTCGAAAAGAATGGACAAGGAATCAACCCCCAGAATTCCCATCCTCGTCCCTTTTCAAGACCCGTTCTCGTTTATTGTCTTTTTCTTTTTTTTCTCTGAGCTTCCTGTGCCCGATTTCCCCACACCAATTCCCACCCGGGGAACCCGCCTTGGGCATCTGGCAACAGAGCCGCGAAGACCCCTTCCGCCGCGAGCCGTTGGAGCACCGAAACGTAGGCCGCGCGCTGCTCCTCCTCTGTGCCTTTAGCCGAGGGTGGACTTCAGCTCTGGAGACGGAAGCGGAGCTTCCATTTGATTCAGCTCTGAAAAAAATGAAAAGATATGTCTGTCCAGTAGTGATAAATTGCTTTTAAAACTCAGGGGAAAAACGAAAAGATATTCTTAAGCAAATGGAAGGGAGCTTTGAAAAGGGAGCGTTCCAAGATCACCAGGGTATGTGAAGCAGATTGGAGCAGCAAGCCGCGACAACTTGCAAGGGTTCTTGTTGATGCCAAACCTGTGGTTACGGACCCGGGGAATACGAACGTCTTTGTTTGTTTGAGTGTGTCTGTGGGTTGGGGTGGGGGGTGGGGTGGGGTAAGAGCATCATGCTTTTTGAAAGTTGAAGTAAGCTTAAACGGACAATCTGTTTGCGCTCACAGGCTGTGGATTTGGGGACGCACACGCGTGTCCATCCGTAGAGACTTGTCACGTAGGCGTGTCTTTGTTTAGGGGACCCCCAAAATTGTTGGTGAAGTGGAATCACCTTTCTCTGCTCACATGCGTGCTCACGTCAATAATCGCACTATGCGTCGCAGGGGGTCATAAAACCACAAAAAGTATGGGGCTCGCCCCCTCCATCGGACACGTACTCAGCCACTGAATCGTACTCGGAAATGGACACGTTCTCCAAACCAGGAAGCGAACTCACGAGCACCACTCGGACTGACCGAAAACCGGAACGCTGATGTTGCTTTCTAAAAAAACTCGCGGCTCCAATTTTCGGGCTGAGTTTGGATTGGGCTGAGTGCACCAACTGTTCTCTGGGTCTGCCTGGGCGCAAAAACGAAAATTCACGCAAACACGGAAGTCCACACGAAACTCGGACATTCGTGCGGTTTGCCTGAGCCATAGCCTGAAGAGAAGGGGACGGCCCAGCTCCCAGTGAGAAGCGGGCGAAGAAAGAGTGAAGAAAAAGATGCGCGGGCCTTCCGGTGGGTGAGGGCAACTTCAAGAGAAACGCGGAGGCGCGCACGTCTGATGCATGACGCGTCGCAGGAAACAAAAAACAGAAACAATAAAACGGGGTATTTCAAGCTGCCGTCACAGAGGCCGAAAATGCTCAAGTTGCCCCAACGTCAAGGACGATTTGGGAAAAGTTGCTGATCTCAAACACCTGGGCCCCTATCAACCTTACATTCCAAACTTACCTGTAGGGGTCATCGAATCCTAGCAAAGAAGCAAGGAACATGAGGCCATTGCGGAGACCAGTCGAGGAACCCAGGGTAAAAAGTCCTGTATTTTGATAAGGGAAGGCGGTCATGGGAGACTCCTTTGCTTGCCGAGGATGCTTCAGGGGGATTGTGCAGGCTTTGGCTTTGGAAGGACTCAGTCGTAAGCTCCACCGGTCGGGTCGCTTATAAAGACCGCCCTGCATTGAAACCACCCGTGGGAAACCACGCGTGTGTTTCGGGGGAAACCCTTTTTTTGGGCCAGGCCCTGCATACCCCGCACACGCGGGTCCCACGGCACTGTTGGAAGTTGCCGAGGCGCAAAACCCGTGATCTGCACAGCTGCCCTTCAGCTCCGTCCCTACGGGCTTGCGCACGAAGGCCATGGCGAGAAAGGGGACGGGCGCCTTCTCTGCAGAGGCTCGAGCCGCGAAGCCGGCGCTTGCATATCGAGATCAACCCCATCCCAGCCCCAACTAGGCCCTCCAGTAGAGAGGTTAGAAAAAGGGCACCCTTGTTTCTGTAATCTATTTTAGTAGGGGAACTAAAAGGGCACTACTCGGGGACATAGCCCAAGTCTCAGAGCGCTGCCCACTAACATGGTCCTCCGGGATCCTGCTGTCACGTTCCACGCCAATGGGTGGGAGGTTATTTCTTCACACCCGAGCGATCCTGCTCCAGTCAACCCAAGGAGTCGGTGAATAGCTCCAACCTCTTACACCCGTCATCGGGGAGTCGGGCGCTCCACGGACCGCGCCAAGGACGCAGCGTCCTTGCCGACACATTGGCTCGAGCAAAGGGTGAGACATAGAGACTTGCCTCCTGGAGGAGGTGGGTGGGTAGCAGAATGGACTCATCGCATGAATCAAAATGATCTCCCACCTGCCCACCCAATCAAGAAGCACCCTGGCACCATCAGTATCTAACTCACTGTGGAACACTCCGCCCCGGGTGTCCAACGGTTGAAGCAACTTAGAAGCCTTGCTCAGGTCACACTGCTTCAAGACAAGTCTGAAGGGTTAATTGCAAATTTGCTGTGCCTCTGCATGCCGAAGCTGGCATCAAACTCCTTTCAAGTGCCGGCAATGTAACTCATGAATCCAGGAGAATCTAAAGCGAGCGTTGCCAAATACTACTAATAATAGCAATAACCAACAGCATCATAATGATAATCATGAACGGCACGCCAGCTTACCCATGGCTCTTCCCTGCAACATGCAGAAACTTCTGACCAGCAGTCCAAAGTCTTTGCCGATTCGCGAATTCATCTCAGTTGCTATGTTACGCAGTGATGATCACAGATTCATGTTGACTGTCAACCCTATCTCTGATCCGCTTGACCAACAATTGCCCGTGAAGGGCGACAACCGTAGGAGTGCTTTTGGAAAAACAAACGGGTGTCCCTGGTAAACGGAACCAAATCCATGCAAACCAGTGCCATCTGGCTGTGGGTCAAAACCCTGTACCCCTGGTGAACGTCAAATAGGTGGCAAATGGATGTTCATCGGGCATAACCTATGGCCATCTATTTCTAGTCATGGTGAAACTCACCCAAAAAGGACGGCTCCTGGGCGCCAGCCTGGGCAGCATGTTGAGAAAGCGAAAAAATATGTTTGGAGTCGACCTCACCCACACTTAAGAGCATAAGTGTCCTTTTTGGAAAATTGATGGCCCTGGAAGATGATTGAACCACCAGGTAAGCCAGGGCCTTCTATTATATATTTTTTCGGCAAACCAACCAAAAAGGACACCTATGCTTAAGAGTGATCCTGGGTTTCTCGAGGAGTCTATCCCTTGGACCCTGTTCACAAGCCTCTGGAGTTGTTTCAGCAAGGGGCACCGGGGGCTGCCCTAAGCCAGCTGACCCAAATTCGACAACATGCCGGCGTGTCGAATATTGAGGGGACCCCCCCCCAAAAAAGAAACCACACACACACACAAAAAAAGGGTGGCTCACCCATGTAGAAAACCCGGCATGCCCTGGATGTTATTCGTTGCGTCTGCTGTCAAACGCCAAGCGTCGCTGGGAAGATCTGCGCCTGGCGACCCACGAACGTGGGACCAATCACATGCAGAGCGCCTACCCCATCGCCTGCATCTGCCAAATTGCAACAAGTCTGAAAAGTTTTTTCTGGGCAAAGCGGCCTCGAAGACCCAAGTCATCCACTTCGACCACCTGGTGCAGCCGGTTCAGCATAGCCTGGGCGAAGTGCAGAAAAAAAAGCTCCCAGGTACACAGTTGCCAGGGGTCACATTCCAACACCAACATAGGGCGCCTTTTTCATTTTGCAGAAGCCAGTCGGAGCTGGGAGCAGGCTCCCTCAGCTTGAGGGAGTGCGCGCAAGCGCTGGAGGGATCCGGCCTCAGGGAACACATTGCCGCAACCTTTGTCCAGGCCCGGCCCCGCGCTCCGGCAAAGTCGCCTCCTCTCATTCCCCGGTATCCTGAATCTATAGCAGAACACATACAAAGGCTTCGAGTACCAATTGACCAATGTGACGATTCACAACCGCCAAAGCTATGTTGATATCCTTCCGGTTGCTGCTTGGTGGTTCTGCCTCGCAAGTTGCAAGCGAAGGCGTGGTCCTTCGTTGGAGCACGTCACGGCGCAGGTTCGCCTAGGCCAGGTCAGAGCAACCGTGACCACGTTCGCTCTCGTGTTCATCGACCAGCCGTGGCTCAAAACGAGGTGTCCCAAAACCTAGTTAGTCAAGGCCTGAGTTAGCCATGGGTACCCCCAGTGAACATCCCAATCCCCACTAAAATAGACAAAAATGGGTGGTGCACCTATCTCAAAATGGGATCCCATTGGGTTTTTGAACCATGGCCAGTTGGGCTCAAATCCAACACCATTGGTTGCTGCAGCACACCACGTTTTGCTCGGGTACGTTGCCAGAGGCTCGCAACCTATGCGCAGTACGTGGCTGTGGCTTTCTTGGCCGTGAGGTTGCTGGGGCACATCGTTGGCACCAATTCCAGGCAGGTATTTGCGTTCTCATCGCAGCGCCTCAGAGACTCAGAGCCGTGCCATCGAAAAAGCCACCAGTTCTCAAAAACAAAGCGCAAACACACACATGTGAGAAAAGAAAGCGCGGTGCCAAGCAGTGCTTGCAAGCTCACGTCGTGCTTCCGGTTTTCTCATCCGAGAAGCCCGAAATACTTGCAAATGAGCTCAAAGTCTCGAGCGTAAACCTTCCGCACCAAGGCCTGGCCGCAAGAGTAGCTTTGCGTGTGGCTATGCCAGCGGGTTAAAACAGTTCATTCAGGCCAGCCTTTTTCAAACATGTGGCGATGGCTCATTTCAAAACCAATGGGATCCCATTTTGGGGTAGGTGAATTCACCACCCATTTTAGAACCTATTTTAGTGGGGATTGGGATGTTCACCGGGGGCTAACCGATTTGGGTTTTGACCCATGGCCATGTATCTTTCAGGAAGCCTTCGTCGCGCGACCCATAACCTTCCATTTGCTTAAGCCCCCCGGAAAATAATAAAAATATAAAATCCAGTAGTGATCGATTCCTTTCAAACCAGGGGAAAAAATGGATCATCACAAACAAATGGAAGTAACAACATGCCATCCTTCCTGCGGGAAAAATACTCTTAAACCCATGGAAGTCACCTGCTGGGACTTTGTAACCTGCTTCTCTGTCCGACTCCCCCCGCCTTGGTCTCGCAGCTCAGGTCGCCAGCCCAAACCTCATTGCAGCCGTCGACATGAAGGATGTCCTGGGTGGCAATTCGGAGGTTGGAGTAGCCATGGTCGAGAAAGACCTCCGCTGTGCAGGGATCCGGATGCATTCTACATTGCAACTTGCAAATGGCGGTGTCCCTTCATTTTGGCGGAAAAGGCAGCATGTTTTAAACGGTTTTAAATGGGCAAAATGTATCCTTTCAGGAGCCCTGCTGTGTTGGCAGCAAATTCGCCACACAACCAGCTCTTGGGTCGCACTTCTGTTCGTGACCTCCCTGCCGACATGTCTGATACAACATGTCGGGCAATCATGATCTTTAGCCGCCCCGCCAATATGCAGACGTTGGAAACTCAGCGCGCCCAAACAGCCGCGAATTAGATCTAGTTTTACTTTGACAATGCAAAAGCTGGGTGTGTCCCCCTAGACTTTCATGACGAGCGCATGTTTCTCCAATTGATTGATTTGCATCTGGTAATCATCGATGTCCTTGGCAATGCTGTTTCAAGATTTCACATCCGGCAGCATGCAAAGAATAAACCACAGCACTTCAATAAGCATAAACAGGTCCCGTTGTTGGCATGTATGCGGACAATCAAGGGTTGACGCCTCCTGCCCCTAATCAACATGCAGGCACATGTTTCAACACGAACAAACTCAGCAAATCAACAAATTCCTGTCAATTATCAATCAATGAAGTGAGCCTTGTTGGCAGAGTCCGGGAAGTGCAGATTATCCACCGCAAGGGTAATGCCATACGGCGGGTCAAAGTACTCCGCTTGAGGCACGTAGGTGCAGCCTTCTGCATACTTGTCCCCCGACAAATATGTTTGCATCATGCTCTTCACGGCGCCGTCCACGTCACAGGTCTCGTAGAACTCGGGGAAGTTGCCGCCATAATCCGCGTAATTCCCTCGGAACTGGGCTACCAGGCGCTCGTAGGGATCCCGCAGCATTCCGAAGACTGTCTTGTTGCCGAAGTATGCTTCTGCCAAGGCTGGTGGCCAGTACTTGGGCGGTGTGAAGTATATAGGGCAGCCGGTGACCTCCGACTTGACCTTACGCGACAAATGCGACAGCGTGGCAAAAACGTATCACTCAGTGCAGCCAGCCCAACTATCTCACTACACAAGTGAACGCTCCCAAAGACACAGCGTGCAACTTGGCCTCAACTGCAACATTATGGTTTCGTGCTGATACCTTGGTTGATTTCCCTCCGACAACACGGGGTAACCCATGATCCAGGACAAACCACACGCACACACAACCGCCCACCCGCCCACCTGCACCTGCTCCTGCAAGCGCACCCATGTGTGTCACTTACGGCAGCTTCGAAGAACATCATTGACAAGAAAGATCAGGAAAGCGCATTTGAACAATCTTCTAGGGCCCTGCAGCCCAAGGGTCACCACAGATCTGAGGGGTTTTGTATTACAGCCTGGGATTACACCCTTGGGAAATGACCTAAAATGTTTCAACATATCACCATGAGCCCAAATGCCCAAAAGGTACACCAACACCACGGAAAGCGTTGCCGAGCTTCGTGGAGATTCGGGCGCAAGCGGCCCCACAACTCCCCATTGGGCTGCATGGCGTCAGCGAGCCGCTCCTGAAAAAAGGCATGTCTGAAATCAAGTGTTGAAGGGAAAGCGTGAAGCAAGCCTTGGCACACTATACCGCTCGCAAGGGCAGGGGTCGCCAGTACTTAACGGGCTGCTGGTGCGACTCAGATTTCCTTCAGAAACCAAAGCTCAGGGGAACTCCGCACCGATAGCTTTCGTTCTCTGGCTCTGACTTTGACTCACCCGCAAGCACACCAACGTCCGCAGCTCCTGCTTGGACAGCAAGGAAAGCGGCCCCTCGACCACCCCCAAGGCGTAACTGAAGGTGTCGAGGCTGCCGCTGCCGGCGAAGGCCTTTTCAACTTGACAGCAGCCGAAAAATGCCGACCCCTTTTGTCCCGCGGACGGTGCAGGATTGCCGTGCTCAAGTTGCCTGCGCCGGGACTAGTCCCGGTCTGCAGCATTCAAGTACACCGACGCACGCAGACTGTATCATTGGTACTGTACACTAGTCTGCGTGATCCAAACAGGGGGTCCCCCGACCAAAGCATTGAGGGTTGCGGCGCGATGCACGAACAAAAGACCCAAAAGGTGCATATTCATTGGGCCCGCATGCACGCTGAGGGCGGCTGTGGCGAATCGAGCAGAATCGAGCAGAATCAAGCAGAATCGAGCAGAATCGAGCAGAATCGAGCAGAATCGAGCGGGCCACATTTTGGTAGACCGTGGTCGGCCCTGCCCGCGTGAAGCGAAGTCTTCAGGGCTGAAGTCGTCCGGAACTATCTCTCTCTGAGGCGCGTGACATCTCTCTGCGACATCTCTTTGCGCAGTCTCTGCGACTGAGAGACTTCTCTGTGAAATCTGTCTGGATTCTCTCTACAACATTCGTCTGCGCTATCTCTCTGGAATTTCTTGTGGCACTTCTCGCAATCTCGCTGCGCCATCTTTGGGTGATGTGTCTCTGTGCACTCCCTCCAGCGCTCTCTTGGTGACACGTCTCTGTGACATCTCTCAGCGCAAGCTCTGGATTTCACCTGAAGAACCCTTTGCGCGTTCGGGAACCACAAAGGAACGGAAGTGCAGGGCGGGCTGACAGGCACACCTGCCCAACCAAACGTGCGACTGGTCCAAAGCACACAACAAATGCGGGCAGGGTACACATTCCTAGCAAGAACTGCACATGGGTCCCGTTCGAGGGAAGAGGAATGAAGAGTTTTCATGTCACAGTAATCCAAGCAATTGTTCTTGAGGGGCCGGGGCAACCAGGCTCTGGAGCAAAACGCAAGAAGGCAGCACTATGCAATGGGAAAGGCTGGGCCTCACACATTGACGTGCGTCATGGTCAATTCTCAACTTCTACGTTTTCTAGTCTTCTGCTCTAGATTTCACTAGTAGGATTGGAAGTGATTGCTTGGGGTGGTAAACAAACACCTGCTTCCTGACTTTGTACCATTCGACAGAACTCATTGAACAAGCCCTGCCTTTCCACTAGCAACCCAGTGCTGTCAAGCAGCCACTTCCTCAATGGTGTGCCCAAAGTTGTAGGGAATGTGCATGAGCACGAGGTCGTGGGCAGCCCGACCCCGCGTCTCTAAGGCCACTTGAAGAAAGAGTGGGTCTGCTGCTTCGTTCACATATTCTCCAAAGACATGGGCCGCCAGAGTCGCCAGGAGCCATGTGCGCAGTGGATGGGCCATTTATGAAATCGTTCGGGATCGAAGGCGTTGTGGCTGCGAATGCGCGAGCAAGTCTGCCTCAGTTTTCTTTTCCCGTCTTAGCTCGCTTAGCTTCTCCCCTTCTTTTTTTCCTGGCCTCGTGCTCCGCACACCAGCTCCCCCTTTTTACCTTTTCCGCACTCATCTCTTTCCGCTTCTCCCCATTTCTCTTTGCTCCCCTCGGCTTCTCTGGCCGCCCAATATCTCCTCTCCCCCCTTCCTGTTCTCCCAGCCCTTCCTCTGCCTCCTCCATGCACTTTTTTCCTCTCTCTCTCTCTCTCGCTCTCTGCCCGGCAATGGCGGTCCCTCCCGCCTGCTCTCTGGCGTGCCAGCGTTGCACGGCAAAACGGAGGCACCTTGTCTCTCCTCTCTTCTGCTGGCTCTTTTTCTCTATGTTGATGGCTGTCTCATGAGCCTCACTCTGCTTCATCTCCCACCTGACTGGTCCCCTCCCCTCTCATGTTCTGCCATATCGTTTCTCTCAAGCTGCTGTCGCCCCCGTACCTAGTGCAACAGGCCTGAGGCCTGAGAAAGCGGCACTAATCACCAACATGATGCTTGGCTCTAAATGGTGCGAAATGGCAGATATTTTGCTGCGCATAGACTCAGGTATGCATGATTGAGCCTGACTGCTTCAAGGCCACTTGCCCCACGAAGGATTGTCAGGATCGTTCTGCACAGTTGTTTTCGGTGCAACTCCACGTGGACTTTTCCGCGCTTGGTTTCAAGCCGTTGGGTTGGGGTGGCGATATTCAAGTCCACTTTGCGCGCAGCGTAGAACAAGCGCTAGCCTTGGAGCTCAGGGATTTACCTTGCAACTCTGACTTTCGAAGACGTGCGCAACAACTCAGCTAAAGCTAGCTTTGTGATAGCTTGACTCACGGTTGCCAGCAGCTGGACAGCTGTGACCTCACTTGGGCATGCTTCAAAAGTAGTCTTCTTTTTTCAGCCTTGCCTTGCCCGGGATAGTGGCTCGGGATGCTTGCTGACGGCTGGCTGCAGTGCTACGGTTGGGGAGGAAGCTACAGTGGGTGGCAAAATCGCGCTCTGAAGCAATTCAGCCACAGCTTAAAGGAGGTGCTTTTGAATACTCCACTGGGTCTGTTGGCTCAGTTTCTGTGCTAAGCTGCTAGACTGCTAGACCCCGGAACTAAACCATTCCCTCCTGCACTTGTTCCGGAGAAGCCATACCCTTTCAGCGGAAGGCTGCGAACAACTTGACACGGGAGGACTCAACATCAAGGTGTCAGCATCTCAAGCAAGTGGCCATGGGTCAAAAGCCCGTACCCTCAGTGAACATCCCAATCCCCACTAAAATAGACTAAAATTGGCGGTGCACCTACCCCAACATGGTAGACCCACACACAAGTCTCTGCAATTCTACATCTCCGCGCAACGAAGCGTCAGCTTGCAAGTGTTCCAGCGCTTGACGTGCCCCGGCGTGGTTGCCGGGTCGCTCTGGCCAGAAAATCCGCTCATCTCAGACCTGCCTAGGTCGAACTTCATGCAACATCCACGCCAGGAATCATGGGCAAGCTACAACCGAATCCAGCTATAGGAAGAACATATATAGTCCTCTTGTTTCGGCGAGTTTTACCGTTGTTTGAGGCTGAATTGGCTTGCAAATCAAGGGCAGGTACAGTGCCTGGTTCCCCGCCTCGAGGAACGCAACTACTTCTGCCAACTTGATTCTAAAGTAGCTGCAGCCATGCCAGCGGTCGCATGCTGAATGCTGCCAGTGGTCAAAAGGGATTGCGTGTTGCTCCCAACATGATGCGCAACATGAACAGTAAACTAAAACACTCATAAAGCAATACTTTGAACGGATCAGCAACGACCTAGAGATTGCAACAACATTCCAAGCCACAATGCTACATTGAAGAATGCAAGGTCCAGCAACAGCAAACCACGATTGCAACGGCTCCATGCCAGTGAGACTGTCCGCTTGCAGCTCAGAAGCCTCAAGCGAGCGTGGCTAAAAGCGCCATGGGTTGATCGCCGCGTTAGGTCATCGCACAGATTGACACAAGCAAAGTGAATCTGGGCTAAAGCTGAAGGCCAAACAAGGTCCTCAAGGGCAACAGAAGTTGACTTGTTGAGCACGGACTGTCTGAGTCATTGCACCCTTCTTTCTGCCATGGCGTGACCTGGCTGAATCTGCTCGCAAAGCGTTGCAGTCATAGGTCGTAGCTATGTCAGCTTGATGAGCAAACAATGCCGGGCGGAATGCAGCAATTTCTGCACAGCCTCAGTCACACTCTGACATGTCAACATGATCCATTGCATCTGCTGAAGCCTTTTCCAGCTTTTTGAAAACCACGGCACCCTGCTCTTTGAAGCTTTCGCCCCCAAGGGCAACCCGCATTAACCACCATCCAGCCTGCCCCAGCACCGATGGCCAAGCTTGTCGTGTGCAAGCGCCCCCAATGGCCCAACACACTGACAATGACGTGCCTCCAGGGCAAATTTCTGAAAACATTGCGTTCATTCAAAAAGGGTAACACTTCCCAGCTCACAAATGACGCCCTCTGAACACTAGCAAGGATCTGCAAACGCCTTCATTGGATCTGCCTCCCAGAAAGACAGCTTACCGCAGCCAAGTGGGTGCCAACTCGGCCGCCACCAAACTAGCCGCACCCGCCGCCTTTGCGGCATCTGCTGTGTTCGCACCTCCCTCCTTGGCTGCTTCAGAGGCTGCCCTTCCTCGGCGCCATCTTGCAGTCAGCGAGCTGAGTTTTTGGGACGCCTTTCTAGGCAGCCTGGGGTTCGGAACATCGCTAAGCATGTTCTCTGTGATCTTCGAAGATGTAAACCGTTGACTCCTTGCGGTTGATATTGCGCTGTCTGTGCAGAAAGCCTCCCTCTCTGCCCATTTCGTGCTTGCTCCAAGTGTGAACGTGTTAGCTTGGTGCCAAGATGCCAAAGACTTGCTTCCCTGCCGAACATTCCCATTTGAATCATGATGGGGCACCTTTAATATTTGTGGAGATCCCATGCATGTAGAGGAAACTTCTCTAGCCAATCATCGCAAAACCCTCTATGTCACTTTGCCGGGGGGATCCCTCAACTTAAAATGCCAGCGGGGTTTTCATCGCCTGGGCGCTGGCTTCCAAGATCAGCAGCTCCGTCGCTTGCTGCTGAGATGCCCCGGCAGCCTTGGCAGCCAGTCCTGGCTTGGCCGACGGATCCGCAAGTCGCGAATCCCCTCGTCTGGTGACAGGACGTGGCTAGGTCAAGGTATGTATCCTTAATCACGGAGACGTTCCGAAAGTCCCATTGCCAAATCTAAACCGATCAATGCCTAGCCGCCTCCCGCCGTACAACTGAAGGCATATGCTGGCTTGCCGGGGCCATGGGAAAAAAAGGGTGACCTTTTTTTGGTGTTGGTTGAGTTGAAAGGGGAACCCTTACCCCAAAAAAAGGTCAAAAGGGCGCCACTGGGCAACAAAGCTACAGCAGCAGCCTGGCTTCCTTGGTCCAAGGTATTCCTCCATTTGCTTGAGTCCCCTGGAAAAACCAATAATATTTCCAGTAGTGACAGATTCCCTTTAAAACCAACGGGGGAAAATACACATATTCTTCAGCAAATGGGAGTATTTGCTGCATCCATGCGGTCCTGCCGCCTCCGCCGCCGCCAGTGCCACCCGCTCCACCGGCTCCCCAGCTTCGCGCGCGAAGAACGCCGCGGCGTCCGCGGCCGCGGACGCCGAGAGCTCTGGAGAGTCCTTCGGACTTCGAAAATCAAAGGGAGACAGTATCTTGGGTGCTGCAACGACTCTGCAAAAAGTGAATCACTTTTTGCTTGTTGAAAGGAAATATGAAGGGAATCCAAGAAGCTAACGTCTAAAGATCCAAGCCAATAGCGGTAGAGGTATATACCCTCTCTCCTACTAACATAGCATTTGTTGGAGGCTACCTAGAAGATCAATTTGCTGAAGGGACCCTCTGTGAGGTGCCATGTTAGTTGGAGGGAGGGTATATAGATATATATGGCTATGACTTTTTTAGGGGTCTGTAACGCGCGACGCGCCACGAATCCTGTTACGGAGGTCTGTAACGGAGGTCCTTGTTACGCAGGTCTGTAACGACACAAACATTTCCTGACAAGCAGTATCAGCAGCACAATGTAGCGCAGCAGAACGAGGTATGTAATGGCTACGCAACGAGGTCTGTAACGAGGCCAAGACAGGCGCAGGACGCAAAAGCTCGCCTCCGCAGCTCCAGCTTGATTGCAGCTACTCAACGCAAGCCAAGCTGCGGCAAAAAGCGGGGTCGCTGGCCCGGGCTGGGGGGTGGGTCTGTAACGAGGTATGCAACGGCTACGTAACGAGGTCTGTAACGAGGCAAAGCAAGGCGCAGAACGCAAAGCGCGCCTCCGCAGCACCAGCTTGATTGCAGCTACTCAGCGCAAGCCAAGCTGCGGCAAAAAGCAGGGTCGCTGGCCCGGGCTGGGGGTTGGGTCTGTAACGAGGTATGTAACGCCTATGTAACGAGGTCTGTAACGAGGCAAAGCGAAGCGCAGTACGCAAAAAGCGCGCCTCCGCAGCACCAGCTTGCTTGCAGCTAGTCAACGCAAGCCAAGCTGCGGCAAAAAGGGGGGTCGCTGGCCCGGGCTGGGGTTGGGACTGTAACGAGGTATGTAGCGGCTATGTAACGAGGTCTGTAACGAGGCAAGGCAAGGCGCAGCACGCAAAGCACGCCTCCGCAGCTCTATTCAACGCAAGCCAAGCTGCGGAAAAACAGGGTCGCTGGCCCTGGCTGGGGTTGGGTCTGTAACGAGGTATGTATCGGCTATGTAACGAGGTCTGTAACGAGGCAAAGAAAAGCACGGTACGCAAAGCGCCTCCCGCAGCTCCAGCTTGATTGCAGCTATTCGGCGCAAGCCAAGCTGCGGCAAAAAGAGGGCAGTCACGTCACTGGCCCGGTTTGTTCATCTGAGGTGTGTAACGAGGGCGTGTAACGAGTGTGTGTAACGAGGGTGT